TATTTATTAATCTCTTGCCACATCTCCACAAAGATGATATTATTAGAGATACAGGGATGAATAAGAAACATCTATGGAGTAGCCTTTATGGACCAGGCACATTCCAGGCACTGGAGATGCAGTAATTGGTTCCTGCTCTTACACAATATATATATGGTGTTTTATACACTAGTAGAAAGGAGAGATACAAATTGTAATAGGTATCATAGAATTGAACATGGAAAGTAAAGCAACTAATTCTGCTTTACTGTTGAACTTGGCTTTGGAACATGGGTAGGGTGCTTTACCCTAACAAGGACCCTGTATTATGTTTCAGGGGACAAAATGTGAAGACATAAAACATGTTTCTCATTTATTAGGAGAGATCCCTATTAAAATGCTGGTGGTTGAGGGTAACTGAAAAATCTAACCCAACATGGCCTTAAAAATAAGGAAGTGTGTTAATTCAAATGAGGAAGTTGTGGCAGCAGAATTGGTTAATCCAGGGGCTCTGCACATCACCAGAAACACAGTTCCTTTTCCTCTGCTAACCTTGGTGTGTTGGCTTCACTCTCAGGCAAGTTCTCCTCCTGGGCATCTAATGGCCACAGCAGTTCCAAGCTCCACAATGGCCAAAGGAAAGAGAGGAATGAGTCCCAAGGTTGGAAATCTCTCTAAGGAGCATCCCAGTAGAGATTTCCCCTTCAGTCTCATTAGCCAGAATTGCACTGCTCTTCCTGACTACACCAACCTCTGCTATGGGAAATGACTGTGGGTGGGTGCCAGGATCTCCCTCCACCTACATGGTTATGAGGCTGGGCTGGGGAAGGTAGATTTGTAGTGTAGGCAACAAACTGAATCACCTTTAGGAACCCAGAAGTTAGTTCAGAAGAAAGCTTTGGGAGGGCAAGAGTTTAGTCTGAAAGGAAAGCAGAAAGCAGATACAACCTTGTATGTTATGTCAGAGGCTTATGGGATGGCATCATTACTGAAAGAATTAAAAAATTACATAGGTCTGCAAAAAGCCTCATTTTTAACAAGGTGGGATCCACAGTTAAAGTAAATCAGAAAGAGGTATTTACAAAACTGGAAATTGGTCTTGTATAATATGTATCCTTGTATATAATACACACTCACACAAACAAATAAGCCACTTTTTTTGTTGTGGTTCCTAATTGAGGCTAGGAAGTTAATTTGGAGACAAAAGACAATTCATTTTAAAATAGAGCAAGATAGTGTTAATTGTGTCAAATGGTTATTCTCTAAGAGAATATTTCTGATAATTGAATAATTAATTCATCCATCACAGAACTCTTTAAGGGAAAATAAATAAACTGGGGAGTAAAAATAGAAATTTTGTTGTTATTTTATCAATTTCAGAGTTTTTCATGGCAAAGTCTTGGCAACTGAGTTAGAAAATAGCCCCCTCTAGTGACCAAAAATCAACTAATTGGTCACAAGAGCAAAAACGAAGCAAATTTTAAGAAAGCAGTTAGAAAGTAGGAGGAAGCTGAAAAAACTGGAAATTGGCTGCCCCCTTCAGGATAATGTTGTCATTACACTTATTTTAGAAATCCCTGGTTCCCAAAATCTTGAAAACACACCCTTAATTTTTGTGTGGTTAATGATTGTCGACTCTAATTTCCAAAGCACATTTATATTTGATTAATCCTATTGGAAAATTATTATTTTTTAAGAACTCTATTATTGGTTTTCTACATTTTTCTATATTTATAATACTGGGCTTTTACAGCTTGCACAAAATGAAACAATCATAATAAACATTTTAACTCAATTTTCCTCAAATAGTATCAACTATAATTAGATAGCTAATTAAAGTAACATTTTTGAAGGCTAAGTGGGGATTTAGAAAGACAAATGAACCAGGAAATTAGGTATTCAAAGATGATTTCTAAAAATTGGACATTTTAAAATCAGCTGCCTTGAATATCACTTCCAAATTGCATGTACTATTTAAGATTATGGCATAGTGATGAATTATTATTTTAGGTAACTATGACTGGTGGATAAAGTCCATACATGCTCAAGAGAGCATAAAGACAGCCATTTTTTGAAGATAGAAATGAAAATCTTAGTGAGAAAAATTCAGATTTTAGTTTACCTTTAATATGTGGGAATCTTTTGAGGCAAATCACTGATCAGCTTATTTGTATTCCTTCTTTCTCAGTCATATACAGAATGATTTTCTTTAAAAAACATATAACTTTGTAAAGGTAAAAGTAAATTTAATCTAAGGCTAAAATGAACTGAGTTTAAGATGAACTAATCTGTGGATTCAGTTCACCTAAATAACAACAGTAGGTTTTGTGCTTATTTGCTCTAACATTTATCAAGGGTTTTTTTTTTTATGAGCCAGGCATTGTGCTAAACACTCTTGACACATTATCTCATGCGATGTTTTTGTTACATAATTCACAGTTCACAGATAAGAGACTGAAGGCTTAAAAAGTTTAAGCATTGTGCCCAAGACTAAGTTGTGGAGTCAGACTTCACTCAGAGCTGGCGCATGGCCTCCTACGCACTGTGTTGAGAGCCAGGACTTGTATTTCTAGACTCACATACTCCAGTCCACGGCTTTTTAAACTGTATCCAGTTTGGTCGTGGGGATTCAGTTCAATCTGTGACAGCTGAATAAAGGGCACCCTTCCACATGATGAAATCCCCAAGTTGCTCAACAAAGACTTTGTTGTCAAGAGAGCCCACTGGGGTCAATTAAAGAATCAGAAGTAAAGGGGAGAAGAGTGTGGTGCATTGACTAGAGAGGGAAAGGCCCAAGATTTATTTTGGGAAGATTCTTCATAGTCTTCTAAAGTGAAGATTTAGACTTTCTAATAAATTCACTTTCTCTAAAGTGTACCAATAAAATTGATAGTTGTACTCTTCAGCATTCAGAATCAAATTTTATTTTGGTTCAGTTCAGCCAAGGCTCTTTGGCTTTAGATCCGGTTTGGAAAGGAATAGAACAGTCTGTTCTCATCTGGACCAATCCTGGGAGATGCATCCTCATCTTAATTCATCTATAAGTCACATCACAGTATTTTCTGTTTCCTTGATTTCCCAGCCAAAGGCCCTTCTGGAGTAGAGCCATGCACAGAACAGGCACCAAGCTGATATTTGTTGATTGAGCAGACACAAAGAAATCTTAACTTATGAAGAGGAGTAAGCTAGATAAAGGAGAAAAATGATATTCCAAGGAGAGAGAACAATACATCCAGAAACAGGACAGATTGAATTGTTATGGGAACAAGTGGCTGAACATGGCTAGACATAAGGGTGCTGGATAGAAAAGCAGTGGCAGTTTAGACAAAGCCCACAAGCTTTGGTTTGAATTCTGGTTTACCTCTCACTGGCTGTGTGACTTTAGACAAGTCATATACCCCTCTGTATCTGCTTTATGAGATGTTAGAAAGATTAATTATTGCATAAAAAGTACTTAGAACAGTGCCTAAAACATAATAAGTACTCAACAAATATGGCCTCCTACTATTACCAGGGGTGGGTTCTGGGGGGGGGGTGTCATATAAAAAGGGTCCTTACATAATAAAATTGCTGCCTAATGCTATTTTTAGAACTCTTTGTTAGAATCTTGTCTCTTGGCTGGAGCAAACAGTCAATGCTAGGACTTATAGGGATTTCTTTCCAGAGACTCACCAATGGATCAGATATCAGTAGGTTTGTAAGAAGGGGGGAGATGTGTGTGGTTTGAATTTTATGAAGGTCATTCTGGTGTCCTGGATAGAGGATAGATCAAAGAGGAACATGAAACAAAGAAGGTATCTGATGATACAGGGAAAAGGAGAAGAGAAAAAAAAGACAGTGCCACAGTTTGTTTGTTTGTTTGTTTTTTACAGTTTGCATAGACCAGGTGCTGGCTCTCCATAGGTAGGAGACAAGAAAGTTACAGATGTTCACTAAAACAGGTGCATACCAGAACTAAACGTGTGCCAGATTTAGTGTTTTGGAAACAGAAAAAGAGCCTGTCACAAGTGTCTGTTGTGTCGTGTCGAGTGTCACAGTGACTAGACAAACATGGAGGAGGCCCACACCGTTAGGGATGGCTGGGGCAGAGTCAAGGAAGAAAGTTAAAAATCTGTGGCAAAAATCATGGAAGTTGTAAGCCATGGAAAGACTTATAAGAAGTGGGGAGAAAGTGTGTGGTTTGAATTTTAGAAAGGTCATTGAAGAGGAACAAGGTGAAGACAGGAGGTCCTTGAGGGGGAACTTTGAGGGGGTACTTGCAGTAACCCAGATGGAAAGAGATGGGACTTTAAGCTAACTCAGCCAGTGCCAGGAGACATGGAGAGTGGAGAGAGCAACAGGTGAGGGGAGAAGGGAGAATCCGTAAGACCAGCCACCTGGGTCCCAGTTATCAGGCCTGGGCAATGGGGTGGGTAAAGATATCAGTTACTGAGAATGGCAAACCAGGAAAGAAGTGGCTGTAGAGGAAGGTGAGAGAGTTCAGTACACGATATCTTTGATTTTGGACGTACTGAGTTTGAAGAGAACAGCCAAGTACCTTTGCCAAGTAGGCAGTGGGCAAGTAGGCCTGCTGCTCTGGCCAGAGATTGGAACCCTTTGATAGGAACACTGCCAGTGTATTCAACAGAGCTGTCAATACTTCTGGAGTAAAGAACAACTTGTTTAAGATGCCATCTATGCCTTGATTATAGATATAAATATTAAACAAGATTTAACTAAGCTCCATCTAGAAAATGGTGAAATTTTGAAATTCTTTCTAGCAATTCAAAAGCATTATTATTTAATGTCAGACAGTAGTGACTGAAACAAAGACACCGCTGAAATCTGTACTTTGAGGATTTTATCAATTGGTCGTCTTTGCCATGTTCTGCTTTTGACCGAATTTAAATTATATGATTATTTAAATGTGCACCTCTGGGGATAGAGATCATCATATGTTTCTGTAATGTGTTTCTAGTTTTAAGCTTTTTAGTCCTTCAAAAATATTACTATAATTGTAATTTTTCAACCTTCTCGTGTAGGTATCTCTGATGACTATATCACACCTATGTTTAGTTTTTATAAAAGTATTGGGGAATTGAAAATGACTCAAGAAGAGTATGCTCTGCTTACGGCAATTGTTATCCTCTCTCCAGGTAATTTCAGTTGGCATTAAATTTTTATACCTTTTGTTTTTTTCCCTTGGCATAACAAGTAATAAAGTTTATTAAAGGAAATTTGGAAAACACAGAAACACAAAGGACAAATCAAATGCTCTGTAGTTCTACCATTCAAATAGAGCCATTGTTAACATTTTAGTGTATTTCTTAATCTTTTTTTCCCAAACATCACCCTTGTGCATCCCATGAATGCATGTTGAACATATACTATGTGCTAGACATTAGGGATATGATAAGATACAACTCCCATGGGGCTCACATTCTACTAGTACAAAGAAGATAATAAATGATGAAACTGATAAAAATAAATTTTCAGGAGATAGAAAATGCTTCCAAAAATGTAATGATGAGAATATAAGGAAACAAAGTGGTAGGATAATGATATTTTAAATAGTGGTCAGAGAAGTCTTTTCTAAGTGGTTGACATTTGAGCAGGGTTATAAATGAAATTATTAGCCAGGCGTGGTCGATGCACATCTGTAATTCTAGCAGCTCAGAAGGCTTAGGCAGGAGGATCACGAGTTCAATGTCTGCATCAGCAATTTAGTGAGGCCATAAGCAACTTAGCAAGATCCCATCTCAAAATAAAATATATAAAGGGCTAGGGATATTCCTTGGTGGGTAAGCATCACTAGTATTGAATAAATAAATAATAAATTATGTACTTCATATAATAATAATAATAGAGAACATATTATGCTTTTTTAAAGTTTACAGCTTGTCAATAGACCTTTTCCAAGCCATTCCAATTATTTTACAGTTGTATTGATTTACAATTGTAAGCTGTATGATTATATTGGTAAAAGTTTGTTATAATGTGTGCATAATAATCCATTGTATGGATGTACAATTACTAAATCTTTACCATATGTTTATATAGTGTGATGCTTCCGATTTTCTTGTCTTAAACAATATTGATACCTCTGTACATAAAATTCACTTGTAAGTGTATTTGGGAGCAAGTAATGCCAGGATTGTGCCATGTTTAGGATTTGTAAAGCACACTTATAATGCTTGCCTTAAGCCTTTTTTTTTTTTTTTTTTTTTTTTTTTAGGGCTGGGGGCTAGAGTTGAGTTGATAGAGTGTTTGCCTCACATGCATAAGGCTCCCTGGGTTTAATCCCTAACACCACAAAGAAAAAAAATTATTAAGCCATTTTTATGCATGATATTGAGGCAGAAGCTAATTGCTCTTTTTTTAAAGCCATAAACAGTTAGTGAGAAAGAAGAAAGAAAGAAAGAAAGAAAGAAAGAAAGAAAGAAAGAAAGAAAGAAAGAAAGAAAGAAAGGAAGAAAGAAAGAAAAACTGTTCTCTATTATTATTATTATATGAAGTACATAAGAATATCTATGGGTGTAATTTTAGGAGGGCAGAACCTCCTCCTAAAATTACACCCATAGATATTCTTTAACCCAGCAATTTCACCCCTGGGATTATACCCATCAGAAAGGGTACTTATATCTATCACATGGATTACCTTCAGGGGCTTTGGTGGGAGGGGACATTAAGGGGATTCTTGGGAGCATTAGATGTTCATATCTTGATGTACATGTGATTGCATGGGTGTATATTAATTTGTACATTTTGAGGGTACATGTGCATTTCCCAAAAGTTAACCTTGCTATAATATGCCAAATTAACGCTTTCCCACTTTTTAATTTTGTCACTTTATTTTAAACTCCAAAACAGATAGACAATACATAAAGGATAGAGAGGCAGTGGAGAAACTTCAGGAACCACTGCTCGATGTGTTACAAAAACTGTGCAAGATTCATCAGCCTGAAAATCCTCAGCATTTTGCCTGTCTTCTGGGTCGCCTGACGGAATTGCGGACATTCAACCATCACCACGCAGAGATGCTGATGTCATGGAGAGTGAACGATCACAAGTTCACCCCACTGCTCTGTGAAATCTGGGATGTGCAGTGTTGAGCTCCTTTCCCCGCCCTGTGATATAAATCTGATGTACGACTTCCCTTTATTTCATTTGTACCTGGTTTCACTCAAAAATCTTGATGAATATTTATGCAGTAATTATATAACTTCCACAGCTGTAAATATGAGGTTAGATAGAATTACTTCTCTATATTATATTTTACAAGGCTTCAGGGAATCCTACTTTCTAATTGGCATGCCCTGTTGCCTAATTAAATTGATTGTCACTTCTATTCTGTCTGTTGAACTGGGGGAAACCCCATTTTGCTCTTTCTCTTACTCTATTGCTTATACTTTGTTAAAGAGTTGTGTTCAATTTTAGCAATAAACTGAACATAATGGCAAAAGACTCTTCTCTGAGAACAAAATTTGACAAATATTTCTTTAAGTGATGTAAGACATCCTGTAGAACTGGGGGGGGCGGTAATTTTTACAGAAAGATAAATCTTTATAACTAAATGGTTCTTTTCTCGAGCCTGGAGAAGTCATGGTGCACATTCTTTCATTTGTAATAGCCCTGTGATCATTTCATTTTCTTTGAAGTTCAAAGAGAATAGAATAGAGAAAAATTAATGATTTTCATGTAAAATATCCCCTCGAGGCATCCCTTTTCTCCCTAGTTACAGTCTTGACACTGCATTTACAAATTGAGAGCAGGCAGACAACTACAGTGAGGAAACATACCCTTATCTCTCTTAAAGTGCTCACTAGTGGCTCCAGTGTATACAATTAATCACTTTTGCATTTGTTTTGTTTTGCTATTTGAAAACACTCTTACAGCTGGGTGCACAGCTGTTGTATACTTCCCCCAAAGCAGGAATTAGTTCATTTCCTTCCTTCATTGTTCTATGGCTGCTTTCTTCTCCCCATTATTCTTTGGTGAATACAAAAACACACCTTCTATAAATGATGATCTTAAATCTTCCTTTTTCCTGAAGTCAGCCAAAATGGTGCTTGCTTAGCAAACAAAGAGGTTTTTTTTTTTTTTTGTATTAAAATACTAAAGCAACCCTGAAGTTCTAAAAATAAGTAGTCAGTGGAAAAGGGAGTGGATTCTATCTTGATACAACTAAGTGCATGCTTTTTTTTTTTTTTTTGGTAAAACTCCATGAGGGATACAAAAATGATTAAGACCCAGTAATCAACTGGAGGGAATGAACTGGGGTGCACAGGAAAGCGCTCTGTGGGCTTACCCAATTGGGGAAAGTCTTGGAGGAGGTGGCATTTCCTTTAGGTTTCAAAGGATAGCCCTGGACTCCATGGCTAGGAGTCAAGGTGAAGGAAGGGCAGCCGCACCAGGAAGAAGGTGGGAATTATGCAGATTCCCCAGAAGACCAAAATTAATCTTTAGGACAATGGCAGGGAGCACCATTCCTTTCTAAACTTTAGCTTCACCTTTGTAAAGTGAAGATATCGACCTCCAGTGATTAAAGGGATATAGTTGATTAATGAAGAGGCAAGTGAGAATATAGGCAGGCCCATGGGGAGAGGGCTGGTGAGGAAAAGACACTTAAGACAAATAAATTTCTGAATGTCTCAAAGGGTAGATGCAGCTTTGGGGAACTGTGTGTGGTTTGGTGTCTCCAGATCACAAGGTATCTTTTGGGGGAAGTTGTGAGACATGGGGACTGTGAGGGTGCTGTGGACAGAGCTGGAAGCTTAATCCTGTAATCTGGATTTATTAAAATGATTATGACCTTACAATGGCAAACAATGATGCTTACCATATGGAAAACTAATTATGATACTATAAGAAATAGATATTTTGGGGCAAAGGTTGTGGCTCAGTGGCAGAGCACTTGACTAGCATATGTGAGACACTGTATTTGATCCTAGCATCGCAGAAAAATAAACAGAATAAAGGAATGCTGTCCATCTACAACTACCAAAAACAAACAAACAAACAAAACATATTTTGATTTTGATCCTGGTTCCTGACACAGAGCTTCAAAAACCCTTGGAAATCCCTGAGTGATAGAGTTAATAGAATAATCTTTTGATATTTGTAACAAGCTCCCTTTAACCATTCCTAGGTTTATTAATGAGGTGTCTCTTGGTGGGCCCCTAGATCACTTCAGGTTGGGTTGCAACTAGAGGAACCAACTGAATGATTAAAGAGTTGGAATTTTCAGCCCTAACCCCTGACTTCTGGGGAAAGAAGGGCTGAAGATAGGCTTTAAACACCCAAAGCCAATATTTAATAAATCATGCTTATGTAATGAAATCTCCTTAAACACCCCTAAACAATGAGATTTGGAAATTTAGGGGGTTGGTAAACACAGGGAAGTGCTCCTTCCCTCCCTCAGACCTTGTCCTGTGTATCTCTTCCATTTGGCTGTTCCTGAGAGGTATTCTTGATGATAAACTGGTCACAGGACTGAGATGTCTCCCCAAGTACTTTAACAAGCTATTGAACCCAATTGGCTGGTCAGAAGTATAAGTGTTAACCTGGGGTTTGTGGCTGATGTCTGAAGTGAGGGCCATCTTATTGTCCTGAGCCCTCGAACTGTGAGATTGGCACTAAGTCTGAGTAATTCGTGTCAGAACTGAAATGAATTGAAGGACATCCAGTTGGTGTCAGGGCTGGTTGAAGGAAATTTGTGTCTGTGTATGTATAACTGTTTTTTTAGTTTTTTTTTTATTGTTGTTGTTATCAAGAATTAGAAACCAATTTCACTATTTCTTCTATAGTCAAATTTGTTTTCCCAGATATTTTTTCTTTTACAAAATTACAATTAGTTATTTTTTCCCTGTCATGAAAAGAATAAATTCAGTAAATGATTATATATCACAATAGGGTGTTAGGTGACTGTAGTGGGTTCTATTTTGAACATTCTTGGCTTGGTCATGTATTTTGGATGGATTGACTCCATTCCCAGCTCCGGAGTCAGAAATGTGACTCAAATAGGTATAATCAGAGCATCACACATCTTGGGCCACAGTGGTTGGTTTAGGATTGGGCATGTGACCCATTTAAAGAAAATGAGATCTTTTGATTGGGATATTTTCGGGAGGCCAGCAGTGCGTGGCATTTTCCTGTCTCTGTGCTGTATTATTGTTCCAAATTCTTCACCCTCTTTCTGTCATAGAAGTTTATGCCCAGACCTTTGCCTTGTCAAATTTCAATGCCTCTCACCAGAGTAGGTAGAACACACATCATGCCTGCTGATGTTACGTTTGTCCTTGTGGCTTGCTTCAGGCAATGGAATGTTGGTGGAAGTGACAGTGTGCCAGTTCAGAGCTGAGGCCTTAGGAGACATCACATGTTTTTACTTGCTGCTCTTGTACTTCTGCCATCTGCTGTGAGAAGCATGCCCTGGATAGCTGCAAGTACTAGAATAAGAGTCAGAAGGTGTGTACCTAAACCTGAGCTATGGTTTGAAGCAGCATTTCCCCACTTCCATCATCAGCTAACTTGCAGATCTCCAAGCAAGATAAATCAATGGTTATTCTTATAAGCTACTGGAAATTGGGCATTGTTTTATATAGCATGGTCACAGCAAAAACCCTCACAAATGTATGCTAATTCTTTTCAGATCCATCCCCCTTTCCCCTTCTTTGCTGTGTTCATACTGGGAGGGAGAGTTAACCCCTAACAGGCTGCATTCCATAGGTTCGCCTGTCAACTGGCTTTGGCAGGTTCAATCAACAGAAAGTGTAAGGGACGACGGAGGAAGAGACCACCAAGAGACTGACTCATGCGACAGCAAAAGGGGGTTTATTCAAGATCCAGCATGCTGGGGCTCCATGCTCACACAAGAAGGGATAGCAGCCCAGAGCCCCGAGCAGGGTTAAGCAGTGCTTAAGTACACTTTTTGGGGAGGGCGGGGGCTTTGCATACGTCAGAGCAAATCATCATGAGCACAGGAAAATTGAACAACAACTCTCAAACATGATTAGTCCATTCATTGGCGAGAACAGGTCGGGCGGGGGTGATAGGTCAGTCCTAAAGCGGGGTATACCTTCAAACTGATTGGTTTAGGCCCTGAGGTGCCTACGTGCTGAGCTGCACTGGGCCCAAGTTGTTAAACAACTAAGTGGTCAGGGGGAATTCCTACACATATCTAATGGGCAGTCCCGGGAATTGTCTTAACAGCTACAGGAATTTCAGGTTCTGTGTGCAGTTCAGAAACTTTATAATACCTGGTCCTTTACATTTTAACTTCAGTTTCTTTTACCCTTTCAAAAGCACTGGTGAAAGATTGGAGGATGGGAACAAAAGGAAAGCCAAGGTATTTCTCCCTTGCTCTCTCAGATCACATCTCTCATGTGGCTCCCAGTCCTATTGGGCAAATCCTGCCCTAATGCCTATGGCACTGGCCTCTGAACTCCTCTTTTTGACCTCCAGGCCCTGGGACTATAGTGGTTGGGTAACATGGCTCATATCTGGGTTATCTCATCTGCTTCTGTTTATCTTTGCAGCTTTTCCATTTCCTATAAAATCAAGTTCATGTTAAGTTTCCTCTTTTTGGAGTACCCAGAGTGATTTGTGTTTTCTAACCTGAACTTCACTCTTCAGAGCTACTTGCCTTTGAAGGTTAGATTTGAAGCTAAGAGAATGTGGAACTAGAACTTATGGAAACCATCTGGTAACCAGAGGGAATCTGAGAATAAAACCAACGTGAGAAGTAGAATCAACAGAGACTGGATTCTAGTGATATTATTTGAACTCTTATATCAAACTGGGCCTGAAGTTAGAAAGTTCTATGCTAGCATTTTAGTTACACACCCCAGAACATCTCCTCCCCGGCTTGTTCCCTGGTAGAAATTTGATGCTGTTTAGATGATAAGCCAATTAGAGATAACATAGATTCCGTGAAAGCCTGGCATGGGCCACACTGTTATTACTGTGACCACATCCCGTAGATGAAGTGGAGGAATGAATGGAGAGTGTATCTCAATGTAGTCATTCTTGCTCTGTTGTCGGACTTTCACATTTCTCTCCAGATATACGCTGCACAGGTTTCCTAGGGCCCCCGTGTTACCACAAGTTGGGCAGCTTACAACAGACATTTATTATTTCACAGTCTGGAGGCCAGAAATCTAAAGTCAAGGTGCCAACAGAATCTTCCCTTGCCTCTTCCAGGTTCTGATAGCTCCTGGCATCCCTTGGTTTACGGCCACATAATCCTAATCTCTGTCTCTGTCTGTGCATGGTTGGTATTTCTTCCTCCACCCTCATCAGGAACTCTCATCGTATTTGGGGCCCACCTTAATCCAGTAACATCTTTTCTCAATCTTTACCTTCACATCTATGAAGAACCTATTTCTAAAAAAAAAAAAAAAAAACAAAAAAAAAAACCATATTCTAAGGTTCCAGATGGACATGAATTTTGGGGCACATTAT